TGTCATAGTTCTATATAATAACAATAACTAATTAAATTTTTTTTTTTTTATTAGCTTATAGAAATATACTACTATAGCTCAACAGTTAAATGCAATTATACAGTTATATAATATGACGATTACATAATAATGATAAAGAATAAAATACAATATTAGTGAATATGATAATATTTAAAACATACAATAAAATAGATACCGAAACAAGCCAATTAAAATTTAAAACAATAGACAGAAAGATTAATTTGAGACAAGATTAGATATATATACGTGTAATGGAAATAATAATTAAGTAATATAAAAACAAAAATATATGATGGAACTATGGAGTAAAACGTTTTTGTAGTACCTCAATTAGGAGGGATATTAGAGGCCCGATAACGGAATTTAAATTGGTGATAAATTGAGATAACGCTGTGGTAACGATATCGGCTGTAGGATTATTATTTGCGGCCACTTCAGCGTAGGATCTTGCTTTGGACTTGGTCTGGGCGTCCGGGAACACGGTTGGAGGAGCCTTTGGAGAAATATTGGGTTTATTTTTATTTAATTTTTTGTAAGCCGGGCAGCCTTTATAGTTTGCGGTATGATCGCCTGAACATAGAGGGCATTTGGCTGGAGAATCCTTAGATTTGTTGCATGATTCCGAGAGGTGTTCTTGCCCACATTTAACGCAACGTGGAAGGTAGTGGCAGTACCGATGCGTATGTCCGTAAGTCTGACATGCGTGACACTGTGGTGGACGTTTTCGTGGATGTGGTTTCTCTTCAACTATTTTGGTGTTGAGAAGAAATTGAATTTTGTAAATATCCAGGTTATTTGTATCCGACTTGATATCAACGAAAAATAATGGCAGGGGTGTTTTGTCAGAAAAACGTTTGATGTTGTGAACGTTGGAGACGTGGTGTCCCAAATCAGAGAGACCAGGTATGATATCTTCATGTGATGTGGTTGGGTGGAGATTACGAATAACAACACGTAAAGGGCGAATAGATTTGGGTTGATAAGTATGAAAGCTAGCATAAGTATCCATTAGATGCTTTAAGAGTAGATTGTAATGCTCGCGACAATTAGATGAGAGAGAATAGATTTACAGATGAAATCAGACGGTTTAAGAATATACAGAAGACTAGAGGTGAAGGAAGAGATATCACTCACATCTTTCACATACACTGGCTGTATTTTTGAAATTTCGGAATTTTTGTGATTTTGTCCAATGTTGGAAGATGAGTTGTTATCGACGTCGTCGTCCTTGGCAAGAGTTGAGTACCGATTTGGAGTGCAGAAAAATTTGGATTTGTTTTCCTCGGTCTTTGGAGACAGAGAAGAGGAGAAGAGGTTACGTTTATTAGTATTTTTGGAGCCATTACCTTTAGATTGAAACGACATAATTAGCGCGAGATATGGACTATAGGCAAAGCCGTATAAGTAAACTGTGAACAGATAATGGAGCGACGAGCATATTGCTATCGGAGTACGAGTGCACTTTACACTCTACGACATTCGAAGCCGAACTAATTAAATATTATATATTATAATTTTTTTTGTTTTTAGATTAGATGTTGAGTTAAATGTGGTGTGAATAAAAAATAAATAATACAATAAATATTGTATTTCAACAGCTATGAAAATTTGATATATACTAGTGCATTCAGAAATTTTACAATTTAACAGATTTCCACACCACCTTAGCATTGCATTCAACAAAACTGGAGGTACTGCATTTTGGCGCGTTTTTATTATAGTGGTTTCCTAACTTAGGCTTACTCCACTTATTTTATTTGTTTCTCAATTATCCTAAACTAATTACAATATGTATATTATACTAACTTTTTTAATTTTCTCATCAATACTTACTTTGTAATCTTTTTGAATAGGATATACACAAAAGACTTTCAAAATTACCATCAATATCTAATGTCTGTTCTGCATCTTCCACACATTGTACTATTATCCATCTGTTACATGTATCGCATTGAACCCAATCGATATTCTCCTATTTTATATGTCTGTGTTGTTTATCCGTACGGCCACAATACAAACAGATATCCCTCATGAAATCAGATTCTTCCAACAATAGAGCTTTTAACACCTCTCTATACACTATTGGGTAGAATGCTTCATTGAATTTCAAGTTTTAAATCTTACTTTTTAATATGCACTCCCAAAGTACAGCACATAAACTTCATAGTTATAAAAATCAGTGTGTGGTTGTTTGGGATATTTATAAAATTTTTGAAAATCCATCTTCCACCAAACTTTTCCTACCTATCCATACACATGATTTTTTTCAGTTGACCTAATATATTCACAAAGTTATGTCTACATTTATTATATTCCATAGTTTCATATGGGTCAAAAAAATAGAATTTATGATTTTCAAAGTCTGCAAACATAATCACCCAGTGGTTACCCCTTGTTAGTAATGGCATTACAAGTAAGCCGTTTTCTGGAACAATTATAGTTTTCATATTTGAAATATTTCTATTTAAATTAGATATTATTTCTCTGCACAATATTTTAATTTTATTCTTAAACTCGCAATATGTCTCTCTCATTACGCCCAAAGCTATCTCAATAACATAATTATCTAGCCACATTTTTTTTTCAACCTCATAAATTGATAGTGAGTCAAAGCAACTGAAACATAAATCATAACACTTAGTTATGTCTGTAAAACTATAATAATATCCGACCATATAATCTATTTGTTTTGAGTCTTTTTTCAAAACAGGGTCATAATAATTTTTATCCTTTGGTAATCTATTTTTGTATATATCCATTTTGCATCGTAGACCATCTACCGGAGATTTGTTACTTTTTATAGTAACAAAAGATTCTGATAATGCCCTTGTATTTGGAGTTACTATTTCGTCATCTGTTTTTTTGGGAATGAAGTAAGAGTAAATTTACATTCGATGTCATACAAATTCTATCATCTTTTATATTATCTATCGGGGACGAATGCTTTATAACTATATGTGTCTGATGTTTCTTTGTTGCAGCTTTTAAATGATCTTGGTAGTAGAAACCCGTTTTTTTCTTTCTAGATTCCCAATGTTCTTTTTCCTCGTTGTCATCAGATAATGACGAAACCAAACTAATAAATGATGTACATTCTTTTTTAGCAGTTTTCTTTTGTTTATTTTGGACCAGAGGAAGTGAACAATAATTTGAAGGTATATCTAGCAGTACTTCTTTACATTTACTCAATATAATACTTCTGTAAGTGGAACAAATCCTCCACATTTCATTCTCCGACATTTTTTGTTGGTTTTTAAATCTCCAAACCGACTCTCTGCTGGAGCATTGCTTGCTCTGTCTGTGGGCCCATATACTTTGAACCGCATCACGCCCATTCCACATTGGAATCACCGGAATGATAGGCCCCATGATATCATTGTGAAACACATGTTTGGATTGAAAAATTTGAAAAAAGTATGGATTTTCTTCAAAACCAGAACATATTTTTAATGTTTCTTTTACCCGAAAAACTATATTTTCAAAACGGGACAAAAATTTGGAATCTTTGTAACGGTAAAACGTCTTAGCATTTCTTATTTGTTCATCTAATCATTAGATTCTAATGTAACATTTTTTTGTTTTGCGATTAGATCATCAACTAGACTACTTGGATTATCATAATTTAGCTGCTTCAAGGTCTCCATGGCATCATCCACTTCCCCAGTCTTGCTGCGTGACAACAACACCGTTGTAACTGCAGTGAACCATTTGTCAAGACATTCCGTGGTGGTTATGTTGAAAGCTGGAGAGATACACGCAGTTGCCACGCACGCCAAAGAGCCATTTGTCATCTTTTTTCCGTTTCCTTTATAATATTTATGAGTATCGTCAGAGATATTTTTGATTAAATGACAACTACAAAGACTTATCAGTGCGTTGGAATTAAACAAATTCCCCTCATACTTGAACACATAACATTTATTTAAATATTTAAAGATCTCGTTACATTCGTTGAATGCTCTCACAAACCCTTTTAATATTGCTGTTGAAAAGTCACTGACAACGTGTGCTGCGAACTTTGTACCACACTGTTGTTCATAGAATTTTCGAAACTCTGTTAGCCAATCTGTTATCACACTAGTCTGCGTAGTCAACAGATATTCTGCTATTGGAATTATCCTCTTATTGCACACGGCGACAGCCGCATAACACAATAAAAATTTTTCTTTTCTTTTTCCTGTTTTGAATAGCGTTGGATCTCTTGTAGTTTCTCTCACCACCCCGCCAGTCGCATCTACATGAATCGTAATACATTTTGTTTTTCTTAAAACGTCTACTTGTTCTTGACTAAATAAATAAGTTTCAAAATCTTTCTCTTTTGAATCGGACACATACTGAATAAATTCTGGAAAATTATTTTTCAATAAACATATCAACCCTGTCTCCAGCTGCTCGATCATTAAGGGGATCGGTGGCGATGACGACTGTCTTTGTCTAACACACGCGCAACATAAGAATTCAGAGGTGTTTTTCGGCAAACGTACCGATTGATAAAGTGAAGCGATAAGAATTCTGAAAACAGATTTGAATTTGTCGTTAAGTCTACTTGAGATCGGTCAGTCTATATTTTTGATTTTAGATTCTGAGTGAAACAATAAAAATACAATAAAAATAAAAAAATAAAAAAACATTCATCGTTTCACTCAGAATCTAAAATCAAAAATGTAGACTGACCGATCTCAAGTAGACTTGACGACAAATTCAAATCTGTTTTCAGAATTCTTATCGCTTCACTTTATCAATCGGTACGTTTGCCAAAAAACACCTCTGAATTCTTATGTAACGCTTGTGTTAGACAAAGACAGTCGTCACCGCCACCGATCCCCTTAAGACTCTTTCTCGTGAGACACCTTATAATATACACGATCAGACCTGATGTTACACAAGTTACCACGCTTTAGTTTACTAGGAGATGCTTTTAAAATATATTTTTGACGTTAACTCATCGGTGGGCAGTACTTTAACATTAGTTTTTGTATTTATCGATTTTTTCCTTTCAAGAATGTAGTCAGTTTACCATAGCGGCTGTAGGTTAGGTTACCATAACTGTTTACCATAACTATTTCATCACAGTCCATTTCAGTAACTTGGTAAGTTGGTTCAACATTTAAATCAGAAAATATTGACTCTTCGCATTTACTATATAGAGAATTTGCAGTCATTCTACTTAACATGGCATTAGTGGGTTCAAAGTTAGTACAATTATTCTGACTTTTACTGCCACCTTTTATACATTGTTTTGTATGAAGTAGCCCCCTTATAGTTTCAGTTATTAATTTTGATCTGATCTTGGTTTTCATACAATTTACAGAAGAGAATATTCGTTCGCAATCCGCGTTTGCATGTGGTAAACTAAGCAAAGCCAGTGCAAAATTACATAGTTGAATAAATTCTTGAGTATCATTTTCGATGCTAAACTTTTTAATAGACCACCTATAACCGTATGCATTTAAATTTTAAATTAATTAATAGTTATAATAAAAATTGTAATTTTTATTTACCAAAATGTATCCGGTTCAATCATATTTTCAATTTCATCTGGAAGTGAACTTATTGAAATAGGTAATTTACGCCATTCGTCATCAATGACTTGTATTCGGGGATCATTAATATTAATGATACAAGGAACTAATTTAATTAGATTGACAAGAGAAGGCTTAGTGTTTCTAAATTCTAATGACAAAGCATTTTTTGGTTTAAAACTAAATAATTCTGTTAAGACAGGATCAGCCATATTATATCTTTTTTTCATTTCTGAAGAAGATGTTTGTAAGAACTGACGACACCTTAAAAATAAAATTGTTGTGTAAAATATTTTTCCTATCTTAAAAATAAACCAAATGATTATAGGTACCTTTCAAAAAAGTCTTTACGTTGGTTATTATTACTTAAAATATCCGGATTGTCCTTATGCATTAATACCTTAGTTCCCAGATACAGTTCATTATCTGTGATTTGATATTGCCCATTCATGGGATTTATATTTACTAGAGGAGTTCTCATAACATAGTCCCTTTTCAAAAAACATAATAGAAGCTCTTTGTAGAGTGAAACAATCTTTTCATGCAAATCAGTAATAACAACAGAGTCTGTCTGAAAGAATTGGTTAAATCTAAAAAATATAAATAAAGTGTATTTAACTGTAAACAATTGATAACAAGTAGGTAGCTATACTAATAAATAATATAATAAAATAATACCTTGTAAATTTAGGAAGAGCCCATTGCAAGAAATAATAAAATAACTTCATAAAAGGGTCATTCAAAGCAGCAAGGATATGTTCAGTTGACAGAAGCCGCTGTACTAAAACAGTATCTACAAAGTATAATCTCAGTGCATCCCATTGTTCTATAACTCTGTCTACTACTGCAGTTAAAGACAGCCATCGAGTTTGTGATGGATGTAAAATTTTATGGGGATCCAAATTTAAAAATGTTTGAAACTGAGAGAACTCACATTGGCGTTTTGAAGAACTTTTTAAAAAGTTGAAAATATTTCTGGCCAAATCTTCACATGATCTTGGTAACCGTTTACAGGCTTCACTTGCACAAAGGTGAGCCGAATGGCAAACACACTACATTATGAAAATGCCTGGGAATTCTATTTTCATTCTTGAAGCCACTGAATTATTCTCTCCCATCATGGTATTACAACCATCACTACCAAAACCAATAACATTATATTTCGGTATGCCATATGAAGTTAATGATTCCATTAAACTATTAAATAGTTTTTCAGCGGTAGCATTACCCGGGTTTTTTGAATCATACACCTTATATAGGTCCCAAAATTTACTTTCTATCTTCCCAGATTTACTATCAAAAAACCTATGAAAATAATCAAAATACAAAATAATTGTTAATACTTAATACTTTTTCAATAATCTGTGTTAAATTTTTAGTATTTGTATATGGTTGATAAAAATTACTGAATATCAGACTGAACTGACTAAGTATCTGCCTACCAAATGTTCTGCTGATCCAATAGATTATGGTAATTATTTAGGGAATAAAATGTTTTTATTAAAATATATTTAAGTACAAATATATAAATACTTTTTTAATATAATTTTTAAAACTGAATATATATTTATATGTAATATAACTTATAAGTAAATTTTACCTGAGAATGACACAAGATGATTTGACGGTACCAATATCAGTAGATTCATCAGTTAATATACTGAACTGTACAGTTTTTAGGTAAGAAACAAGTTCTTCTTTCTGACAATAACCAATCACATTTTTCGTAATTGAAGTTGTTTTGGTTCTTTTAAGTGATATCTTTTTAGCTATTTCAGAATCTTTAAAACAACTTTTAAGAACATCCGTAAGGTGGTCAGTAGCAAGAAAGGCAATATTGTGTTCTGTCAAAAATGCAGTTAATTTTATTTCTGCCATTTTGACGTCAATATCTAATTTCGTTGGAGTTTTATTTGTAGTAAAAGTTTTTATCGATTTTTGTTTTATTTCTTTACATGCTTCAATTTCTTTATGTTTTTTACCATTGCCATGTGTTTTAATGTTAGATAACTCCGCGACCATTGTGAAATTGCACAACTTACATTTGGCTTTGAAAGGGTCGTTATCAATAGGAACCAACCATTTTTTTAAATTTTCAACTCTGAGCCATTCTGAACGAAACTTTTGCGCCCTGTGTTTCGTTGGATTTTTCATGATTTTTTTAGGTGGTGTTAAATGGATATCTTCTTCACTGTCGTTTAACATACTTGGAAATTCATTTCAAATAATAGAATTGTAGCACTCAAAATTACTCAATAAAGTTCTAACTAGGTACTTTATAATAAATTATATCCACTAAACCATGAGGAATGAATCAATAACAAACTAACAAAGACAATTGGATTATCCGTATTTTCTTGTGCATGTACGATGTACCTCAAAAACAAAAACTTGACAAAAACAATATTATTTCATAATAATATCTTCGGTAATTGGTATTTGGTAACAACATAATAATCTCTTAATCAGTAATAATAACAACATAGAATATATTTTATAAACATTATATTATTACAGTTCTTTCAAAATTTTAAATAAAAAATAGTTATATTTAGATTTTAATGGAATTCTCGTATATTATGTGTACGAGAACAATGTTTCCTCGTACCTCGTACAAATGGTCCAAATTATAGTACAAGTACGAGAATTCTCGTATGTCTGGCAACCCTGACGGGGAGGCAAGTCGTGTAGAACGAATACCGGCCGCCGACATCGCTCTCGTTCTCTGACCGTCGTCACGGCCTGACCCGTCATTTTTTCCAAGTTTAGCTAAAAATCCAACTACGTGTTCCGCTTAACCACGTTTTTCTGTCGAGAACGTCTGTGACACCCGACCACGGGTTCATCCATTTTGTACTTTCAATTCATTATATTATAATATTATAACGCGATACGTCAAACACGACCTCGTGGAGATCTGTTCACCATTGTACATATTTTTGTATCTCGTTTCAAATAAACGCCATCCGGCAACTACTATCGAAATCGTCGGTGTTTGTTATTATAAACTTAATTATAAGTCGTGCGCTTCGTGACGAGTGTTCCAAAAATCACCATCGACAACGACCGGCATACCGTCCAGCTACCGTAGCCGCGTCAGAGTCATGCATCTTTTCTGTGGTATATAAGTCAGCTTCAGTAGAGGAAATATTGATTTTACATTTAGGGGTGGTAATCATCTCGTTGATATTAATTTCTTCAATAGAACGGTATTCTTATTATTATCAATTTCTTCCGTTGTATTACAGCAATCATCTTAAATTTGAATATGAATACTAAACAAACCAGGGCTATATGTAATACAACTAACTTCAATGATTTCAAGACAATTTTCATTCAAACCAATGTCCAAATCATGTGTAATGTCATTACATGTATAATCGTTCTCTTTTTTAGGAGAATCATCTGTAAACAATTTTCTCTTTACATACACCACCGCACCCTCATTTATTTCAGTTGTTTGACCTAACATACAATTTTTTTTTTTAGATAATTCTTTAGGATTATCAGCAATTTCATTTTCTCGGAAACTATCTCGACATCGCTGTTATATGTTGCTTAGATTTTTACGATTACACTATATTTTTAATAATTTGCAAACTGAATTTACAACCTCTGTCTCAAAAGAACAAAAATTATTTTTTGCATAACCATTGTCTTGGAGCATTTTAAGAAATCGTAACTTATTATCTGACTTACAATCTAATAACTTTCTGAGAGACGAGTTGGGTCTTTTCAATGCATTTAATAAATTCTTTTTAGCGTTATTACAATTACCTTTATTTAATATAACATTACAAACACCACTTATTGCTTCATTGGAAACACTTATGTTTCCAAATTCCATTGTAGGATATTTTTCTTCTATATAATGTGCTATTTCTTCCAAATGTTTTAATACAGACATTTTAAAATAAAATTAATCCTACTCTTATAGTAGGAACCTTCTTCGACTACTATTAAAAGTAAAATATATCGTGGAATTATATCTATAATACTATTATTTGTTTTTTATATATCCTTATATTATAACTATATCACTATTGTAGTAGGAGCCTTCCTCGACTACTATCAAATGTAAAATAAATCCTTAAATTATAACTATATTAAAACTATTATACTACTTAACTATCTATTGTACTATTTTTTTTTTATCCTTATAATATTAATGATTGTAGTAGGAATGTTCGTCGACTATTATCAAAAGTAAAACAATTTGGCCTTTGCGAGTATATACCAATTGTTTAACTTTTATCCTTATTATATGATAACTATAATATTAATGTAGTAGGAACGTTCGTCGTCTATTGTCAAAAGTAAAACAATTTGGCCTTTGCGAGTATATACCAATTGTTTAACTTTTATCCTTATTATATGATAACTATAATATACGTGTGTGAAGTTGGGGGACCATAGTTAGGGGACTATTTTCTCGGACGACTAGTGATAAGAAGCCTTGTACGTTGTGTCGCATTTCATATAAGTTCAGGGGTGCCGTACTATTGCACCAAAACCGTCAAGTAGTAGATGTCGCCCTATGTTGTTACACAGTAATAAATTGTTGTAAATTGTTTTAAAAGTATATATAAATAAATTCTATTGGCGTCATTACCACGATAATTATACCGAACATACTGACATAATATTGTCATCATAACATAATGAAAAATCAATAATAATGGAAAGTTAGGTTATAAATTCAAAATTCCTCTAAAGACTATACAAATATACAATGTAACACACGTTATTCATTTTACTTTTACATTAATTAATAACAGTTGAAACATGTAATTTGTCTTGGAAGTATTTAAAACATCACTTTTTACTGAAACAGGTATGTAAAAACTACTGTCTACTGTACTGAATAGTTATAGAAATGTAAGTTTTATTCATTATTTAAGTATGTAATACCTCATGTCATGGGGTATGTTATTCTGTGTTATGTTTACATCACATTTTATAGAACCATATTTATTGTAAAATATTACCTAATTTATTGTCTAATTTATAATGAATATTATTACATTTATTTGTAATATAAATATAAAAATGTAATGCTTAAGAACTGTTCAACTATGTACAATGACGCATTTAGATATTTTGCACCCCGGTGCAAAAAAAAAATTAGGCGCCCTTAGGAGGCCTAACCACTGAAAATATTGTTTTTCCTCAAAAAACAACACATATCCTGAATAGTTTTAGGTTAGGTAAGGTTAGCCCCATGTAATTTGTTGTAGTGTTGTAAAGTGTTTAAAAGTTTTTTTTATATAAACCATTATCCTTATAGTTTTACAATTATGTATGTATCAGTAAGTTTATTACCAATATGGTTTTTGCATACTACACAAACATCATTGTCCATTGTACATTAATATTTCATTGAATAATTACTAATAACGGTTACTTTTTAAATTATTATTGGTTACTGTAAAATATAATTAGTAACGATAAAAACTAGAGCTCTCTATTTCACGTGTACACGCGTTCACGTATTCACGTGTACACGCGTTCACGTATTCACGTGTACACGCGTTCACGTATTCACGTGAAATTAACATCCGAATATTATATAAAACCGTGTATTTAAAAAATCCGTGTACACGTGTAATTATTCACGTGTACACGAATATTCACGTATTCACGTATACATGTAATCACGTATCTTAGTGTTCTAATACAACTTTGCAATAAAGACTGTTCAGGCATACCTAATTGTTTTTGTTTATTTAATAAAGATTGTTTTGCCAAATTCGAATGTTTAAAATGTCCTACTAGCCTGCTGCTTTGATTAATTATTTCGGAAATTAAATCTTCTTGTAATGCTTTATTTATAGATAGTTGTAAACTATGATCTGCACACGTCACATCTGAAATATTAGTATTAGTGGTATTAGAAAGTAATTGAACGGCATTTACTACATTTTTTGCATTATCTGTTATAACAGTCGTAACTTTATCTTTAATTTCCCAGCTGGAGAATACATTTTCTAATTTGTCTGCTATGTTTAAAGCTGTATGACGTTCTTCCATTTCTTGGGTTGTTAAAGTAAATGACATCGGAGACCAATCATTATTTAAAGCATGTGCAGTTATAGTTATATAAGAATGTTGGGCCAATGAGGACCAACAATCTGATGTGCATACAACACTTTTAACAGCTTTTAAATCATTTCGTATTTTTTCTTCGACGGTTGACTTAAAAAAGTGTAGTCTTTTTTTTAATGCTTCCTCTTTGATTGCTCTATAGTTCGGTTCTACGACGGCCATAAATTGAAGGAATCCAGAGCTTGAACAAAAAGATAGTGGTAATTGGTTCATACAAATAAGTTTGGCCAACGCTTTATGGATTAACTCTGTTCTGTCAGGGCTACATTTACGATCAGTATCACTATCATGTGTCAAAAAACGGCGACGCTTTCTTGGTATATTATGTTGACTTGGTTGTGTAAAATTGTGAACCATTTCCGCACAGCAGCATTGCCTTATTTACAGCAGCATAACATAAACTCTCATAATAGTTGTAGTTAGTATTAGTTGTAGTTCTAGTTTTAGCTACAGTTGTAATTTTAAAAAAAAATGGGGGGTTCAGCCCACCCCCCCCCCCATCCCGCAAAAAAATATTTGCAGCGTAGTTTAAAAAGAAAATAGTAGTTTAGTTTTAGCTGTAGTTAGAAAAAAAAACCCAAAAAAGTAGTTTTAGTGGTAGTTGTAGTTAACAAAAAAAAGTAGTTTTAAGTATAGTTGTAGTTGTAGTTTTAGTTATAATTTTAGTTGTCGAAGAGGGTTAACTCAGACAGCTTAAAGTGCCGACGAATTGTTGTTAATTCCGACAAAAAATAGTCGAAGAGGGTAACTCAGACAACAAAAAGTGCCGACGAATTGTTTTTAATTCCTACACGAAATACTCGAAGAGGGTAAACTCAGACAGCAAAAAGTGCCGACGAATTATTGTTAATTCCTACACGAAATAGTCGAAGAGGGTAAACTCAGACAGCCAAAGGTGCCGACGAATTGTTGTTAATTCCTACACTAAATAGTCAAAGAGGTTAAACTCAGACAGCAAAAAGTCGAAGAGGTCTTACTCAGGCAGATAAAAGGGTGAACGAATTTGTAATTCAGACACAGAAAAAAATTATTTATAAGCTTTAAAATGAGTTTAAACAAAAAATTGGATGAGGTAGCTCATTATATTAAGAATCAATATCCAAATTTAAATTTTAGAAATGTCTCAGTTTCTGACAGTTGTGTAACTAATATTTGCAATATCATCTTTAATAAAGAAAATGATAAAGGTTTAAAAAAATCAATTGCAAATGCTATCAATAGAAAAACTTCATCCCTTCATAAACGTATTGAAAGTATGAACAATGTTGATTTATGTAATGTGTCAGAAATGAATAGTAAAATAATAAAATATATTGAAGACTTTAACTATACGTCTATTGATTTTTTAAATTACAATCACATAATTCTGAATGACATATGTAAACACTTTAAAGTCACTGTAGATCAAGGTAACCGTATTAAAGTGTATAGGCTATGTAAAAAACACTTCAACCTGTCGTTGTGTAATCCATCGGATGACACAAACAATATGAATTCAAATAGTGTTTATTTTAATGAAAATTCTAGTACTGAAAATTGTTCTTCATATTCAGATCACACAGAGCCTGAACTAGTTCATAAAGACCACGTTTAACTTGAATACACAAGTGTATCGCCCCAAAGTGATTGCAGTTGGATGATAGGAAATCCACTCATACCTTGTAGTACTCTAATTCTACCAGAAAGCATAAGGGTTGAATCTGATTTTGTTACACCTAGTAAATTGGAATGCAGAAAAAATGCTGGACTTGTGCCAAGTCCCCATAAAAATGCCTATTTTAAGAAAACCCCGGTCAAATCTGGTGTTGTGCTGCCTTTGAAAACAATAAATTGTTTTCCAAAACAATACGATAGCCATGAATGTGAGTTTTTTGAAGGAACTTTCACATTTTCACGTGTTGAGTGGTCTCATATGTTATATACACATATTAGCGGTGAAAAACGTTTGGAAAATAATAAATATCCTATTATGTTCAGAAAGCTCATTAGAACTGTGAACAATACATGCGTTGTTAATGCAAAAAGGGTTAGATATTTTGAAAATCATTGCAATGTGTACATGTATTGTAGCCACGAGGGGTGCAAGCTTTTTAGAATTAAAGTCCAGCCTCAAAATCAAGAGTTTCTGGTGGAAGTATATAGTTCTGGTTTAAATTACCATCACAATCCAGAAGACAATGGTCTCACGAACCACGTAAAAGGGATTCAGCGAGACTTACACAAAGAAGCGCTAAAAAAGACAAAAGCGTTTTCCTTCAGGTCGGACGCTGTTGACATGGCATCTAGATGTGGTAAAGAATAGCAGTAGCAGCTGTAATAGCAGTGCTATTTTACTACAGCAGTAGCAGCTGCTAATCCAAAACCAAAATAACAGTGACTGCTATTTTCTTACCTACACTGAATTAAAAATAATATGATAAAATGATAATATGAAATAAATGTGAAATGTGATATTTATCACGTGCCGTGCCACTAGGTAAACTGGTGGTAAACTGCTATTAAATAGCAACTACTATAGTCACTAACTAGGAGGATGTAAAAAATAAATCATAATTTTTTTAAAGTTTAAACATGATTATAAAAGTATTTTATTTTACTATTTTCTTATATTTGTGAGTGAAAAAATGGAAATAACAACAAGTTTGAAGACAAAGAACAAATTAAATAATCATAATAACAGTTTTATTCATTATAATTTAAGAAAAGTAGCATTTGCACCTTTTTGCTGCTTAAACTACTGCGTCGATCACTTAAAACTTGTCCCGCTTTGGAGAAAACTCTTTCGCATGGTACCGATGTTCCAAGAGCACATAACATATTTCTGGCCAGTTGACTTAAGTAAGGATGATTATGTTTGTTTTCAAACCACCATTTAAGAGGATCACTGTTCCTATTTTGGATTGCCTCTTCTAAATACCGTTGAACTTCTACTAATGCCCTTGACGTAACTGTTCCCATAGGTTGTACTTGTGCTACTTTAGAATCTGTTGAGTCCCAAATAGATATTCTATTACTATCACTTTCATGTTCTTGTGGTATGGACTCAATTTCTTCTCTAACAGCATTGTTGGGGACTCTGCTAGCAGAAATTATAGAAGCAGTAAGTTCAACTATGTCGTTTTTTGTGGATTGTTTCAATGATGTTGAAAGGGAAACATCTTTAAACCTCGGGTCTAAAAAGGTACACTGAATTAATGTTTTACTTAGTTCTATTGTCCCCCATCTGTCCCTATGACTCATACCACTAATTAATTTTTGTAAAACATTTTGAACAGGTAATGAAAAGAGTTTTTGAGTCATCAGCTCACAAACATTCTTGAGTCCTTGTGCTATAATTTGAATTATGGAAGCAGTCATGTATTTGCTACCACTAACTGCTGTTGTCGCTTCCTCAAAAGGACGTAACACTTGGATTAGTTGTTTAGAGATGACCCATTGTTCTGATGTCAGTCCTTGAGGTGGGTTGTCTAATAGGCCAAGAGTTCCCCGTATGGAATCTTCTAATTCTACAAAACGATCCAGCATATAATAAGTAGAGTTCCATCGAGTACATACGTCTTGTAAAAGTTTTTTAGGTATTTTGGAACCATTATTACTTTGATACTCATTTAGTTTATGAGATGATCTGCTACTTTTTTTGAAATGTGTGATAATAGATTTAATTTTTTCAATCAAGTCAATTTCTAGTTTGAGCGCATCTTGAACAATTAGTTCAGTGTATGAGCGAAACATCCAAACGATTTTATTTTTAATAAACTTAATGCGTTTTTTATATTGCTGGCATTATCCGACACAGCTAAAACAATTGTGCTATTCAATATTTCCCATTCATCTAAAGTTTTCTGTATTGTTTTGCATAAGTTAACACCAGAATGACTCTCAGAAAACTCATTACAGCCTAACAATATTGATTTTAGTTCAAAATTAGTGTTAATGAAATGGTATGTTATGGATATATATGCTATATTGCTTCTGGAAGTCCAGCAATCAGTTGTAAGACAACCACTTATAGCTTCATTTCTTAGAAGTTCTTTTGTGTCATTCACACATTTCTGATATTTGGCTGGAATAAGAACTTTAGAAATTGTGTGGCGATCAGGCATTTTATATGATGGATTAAGAAGCTGAACAAAATCTTTAAAGCCTTTGTCTTCTACCACTTTAAAGGGTTGGAAATCTTTAGTAAACAAATTCATAAGGCCATTCAATTTTTTTTTTAACATCAATAGTCATTTTTTTTGGAACATAGGAAGTAATAGTTGCTTGTTTTCGTTTGTTTTGTATTGAAGATACTACTGCATTAGAACTAGTACCAGAAGGCTGTAGATGTAAAAGAGAACCTAAAGTACTTTGGACTGTTTCATTTAATGGTGCAGATAATGAAGATGTTGATGGCAGATTATTGACTGTATCTGGATTGTCAACAAGTTCTTCATTTTCAACTGTCTGTATAAATTTGAGTTATTTATATTATGTTAAGTTTAAGTTTTTATAATTATTATTATTATAATTATATATATACAGTGTTTAAACGGTAATCGAGAACACTCAATATCTTTGCGTAGACACCTGCTATTTGAATTCTGTTTTTTTGGCAGTTGTTATGACATAAAAATACACATTTTTATGGCCTTTGAATTTTTTTTACTTAACTAGTCACGCGCATGCGCATATCAACTTTTTTTTTTAAATGGCAACCCCCTGCCTTAACCACTAATTATTTTTTGCCTATTTTTTTAATGAATTTTGGTAGTTGAGTCAACTTTCTAAGTCAAAAATTGACCAAGTTACAGCAGTTCAAAAAAAAAATAAAAATTAGAAAAAAAATGCGCTCGATTTTCAGCTTTTTGATTGCAACTCTGAAAATAATTAATATAGGATTGTTAAAGATTGACATTTTTATAACTATTTATTACGGTGATATTCATACGTTATTTTAACTTCAATTACTGAATAATTTTCTCTACCTCTTCGTGCATATGGCCCCATATGAGGACATTAGTTAACGATTTGATTTAAAACCAATAAAAATTGTATTATCTTCCGTGGGTGTGTAAATTGTGTTTATACATGTAGTCATAAATCGTTTCTAACATCAGTTTAGTTGTTATCATCATTTTTGGAGGGAAAATGTACATGAATTAAAAATAAAATTCAGTCTTCCCATTCGACTGAAACCTGTCATATTATGTTTTAGAAAATCAACATTTAAAAGTAAGTAACCATAATGATAATTTGTATACACTTAGTTAATAATATAAATAATGTATTTTAGTCATAATAATGTTAATATACGCTTTATATCAGTCTCAGGATAGAATAAATGAAATGTCCTCATACGAGACATCATGCATAAACGAGAAATTAAATTGTCCTCATACGAGACACTATGCCTAATCAGATACAGTTTTGTAATATGTTTTAAAACAGTACATACTTGGTTTTAGATTATTCACAACCAAAAATCAAAAATATGAGTAAGATCAGGGATAAAGATATTCAGTTTTTACTGGATATAGAAATACCGAGTGATTCAGAAGTAAGTTTTTGTGGAAGCGATGATGATATGGAGCATGAAGATGCAATTATAATAGGGCCACAGGAAGAAGATCAAATCCTCAAAGAAATCAAAGAAATGGAAGAATTTCAACGAAACATGATGACAGAATTAGAGAAAGTAGATGAATGTATTGCTATAAATGATGAGGTAATAGATACAGACGATTTATTGATAAATCAGCCAAGTACCTCGTGGCAAAATCAAGATCAATTTGAAACAAATGTTGTTAAAATTACAAGGTAGTACACAAGGAGGAGTAATGTTTATTATTAATTTATTAATCTCATATTTTGTTATTTATAGGTCTAAAAATAAATCTGTTGCCAAAGTATCTACTTCACCTGTTCAAAGTAAGACCAAACATTTCGTACCTAAAACTAAACGCCATAACTATAAAAAAAAAGTTAGAAAAACGAAGTGGTTTGCGGGTAAAGACAATAATTTTAGTAATAATGTTCCCCAATATTCCGGTGAATACCAAATAAACATTAACCCTCCAGATGCCACTCCATATTCTTTCTTCAATCAGATATTTACCAATAATATTTTTGAGCACATAAAAGATGAAACAATTAGGTATGCGATTCAAAGTGGTAAAGAAAATTTCAAACTGACGACAAATGAGCTGAAGGTATTTTTTGCATTAAATATTGCTATGACTTACATTAAATATCCTAATGTCAGAATGTATTGGTCATCTTTACCTGGTATGAGAATGGATTTAATAGCAAATAATATGACGGTAAATAGATTCTATGAAATTAAGCGTTTTCTGCATTTCGCAAATAATGAATCAAAACCAAACACGAAAGATCCGTCATCAGATAAGTATTGGAAACTTAGACCAATACTATCTATGCTGCATGATTCTTTTCATGCTGCTGCAACTCCAGAGGAGAATGTAGCAATTGATGAGATGATGGTGCCTTTCAAAGGTAGAAGTAGTCAAAAACAATATTTAAAATCAAAACCAAAGAAATGGGGGTTTAAAGTTTGGGTCATGGCTAACTCTGATGGTTACGTTAACTGTTTTGAACTGTACCAAGGTGCTTCAAATACCTCAATAAAATCACACTATGGTCCTATTAGAGATACGGTTATAAGGCTTTGTCATGGCTTAATAGGCAAAAACCACAAGTTGTTTATGGATAATTTATTCACGTCAGTTCCATTACTTCGCCACCTAAGAGACCAACAGATTTTGGTACTGGGTACTTTAAGACTCAACAGGGTATCTGGTATTAAGGATCATTTACTAGATGGTAAATATTTACAAAGAGGATGGACATCATTAGCAACTTCTAATGATAATATAACAGTTCTTCGTTGGCAAGACAATAAATTAGTACACACTATCTCAACATACGCTGGTGCTGTTCCCGAAGACAAGGCAAAACGATTTGATAGAAAATCAAGAACAACAATAGAAATAACTCGACCATATGCTATAAGCGAATATAATCGATTCATGGGTGGTGTGGATATTATGGACCGCATGATAGCACATTATCCGCATGGTTTCAAAAATCGAAAATGGTATTTACGAATATTTTTTCATTTTTTGAACATAAGTATTATAAACTCGTGGATACTTTTTAAAAAATCAATTGATCCAAACTTACCACTAGTGCAATTTAAGGCATCGTTAGTTTGGACATTATTACAATTGGGCAAACAAAGTCCAAAAAGAGGAAGAAAATCAGACTCATTTACTCAGCTGCCACCGAAAAAAAAACCAACTTGAGTTGTGTCTACACCGGCAGAAATACGATATGATAACAACAACCATTATCCATTAAAAACATATGCAAAAAATGCGAATCGATGTCATGAAGAACGTTGTCATTCAAAAACTAGATACATCTGCCAAAAATGTGAAGTTCCATTGTGTCCAGAGTGCATGTGCAATTATCATACCAAAAATAAGTAACACTTGTTCCTACCTAAATTTGTTTTTTTATATCATTAAATATTTTGATAAGCGTTATTATTATTATTATTATTATTAACAAGTCGTTGAATTTATTTTATTTTTATATTTATGTTTACTAATTTGTTAAATATTTTTCAGAAAGAACTGATTTAAAAAAAATTATATTATGTTATTATATTTTTTTTTTACTTTGCAATAATTATGCACAGTGTTCTCAAATGAGGACATTTAATAAAAAGTGATTTTTAACTTGAATTAAAAAAAAATAATTTTTTTTACATTTTTCTTCAATTCCTTAGTACATGTACGTTGTGATAAAAAAAAATTTTAAAAAAAAAATTAAAAAAAAATTTTTCATGCATGAAATAAATAAATAAATAAATTTCATGTGTAATAAATCATAACTTATTATAGCAGAAAAAACGTAAATTAGTATGTTGTTTATTTCTTTACATTTAATGGATCTATTAGAACGTATTAATAATTAATAACAAATTCAATTCTTATTTAAGTTACCAATTTATTTAATTAATAAAAATCTAAAAATAAAAAAAAAATCTAACGAATAAATTGTTCCGTGAACAAAACATGCTTCAGCGCGCCGCATAAATTCTTTATTTGTTGCATCAGTAATTTGTTCATCAGTCAGTCGATTGCATGTTGCTGTTATCTTATCTTTTAAATTTTGAAGATTTATAAGAGGATCGGCATACACTATTGTTTTCAAGTGTCCCCATAAAAAAAATCTAGTGGCGTAAGGTCAGGTGATCGTGGTGGCCACTCAATGGGTCCGTAAGTTCCTAGCCATCGATTTTGAAATTGTGCATTTAAATATTCGCGAACTATGTGAGCATTGTGAGCTGGAGCACCGTCGTGTTGAAAAATAATATTACCTCTTAGAGCTAAAGGAATATCATCAAGCATCATTGGTAATTCATTTAGTAAAAAATTATAATATCGTCTACCATTGAGTGTTCCATCATAAAAAAATGGACCAAGCAATTTACCACCAATTAAACCACACCAAACGTTTGTTCCCCAAATAGTTTGATTGTTGGTTTCAAATGTCCAATGTGGATTTTGATCGTCCCAGTAACGGTTATTCTGCTTATTAATTACACCATTATTAGTAAACTTGGATTCATCTGTCCATAATATTGAGTTTAAAATTAATGGATTTTCGTCTAAACTGGTCATCAACCACGCAACAAAAGCTAGTCTACGAGGTGCATCACCCTGACGCAAATGCTGAATTAAATCTGGTCGATATGGATGCATTTTATATTTTTTTAATACCTTGCAAACTGTGGTATGAGATATTCCAAGCTCTCTACCAACGTGCCGTGTTGAACTTCTGGGATTTGCTCGAACATAGGCTAATAGGTTTTCCTCGACCTCTTCACCTAAAGCATCACCTCGTCTTTGTTGTAAATTATTTACCCTTTTAGAAAATGATCCATAGGTTCTTAGATTCCTTTCTAAGTTATAAAAAAAACTATGGACAGGATGTTCTCTATCTGAAGTAAATAAAAATAACGAAACTAACTTAGAAGATTATCTAAAGAAAAATAAAGACAATTATACCTGGGTAACGCTGTGCATATGTTTGTGCCGCAAGACGTGAATTTTTTTGACACTCCCAATAAATAATCAACATATCAACTTTATCTGAATGAGGCATATTTGTCACGGAGTAACGCACGGTTTGAACGATGAAAAATATCGAAATGTTCAGTTATTTCATTTATCTCATCGTATTTAATTTTATATCAAATTGTCATACAGTTTAAAGTTTACTATAAGGTAAACCTAATGTTTAATCTTATTAATGACCGAAAAATACGATAAGTATTAGATTAGCAGAGGTAATTACCTAATTAATTTGAATAATTTATAAATACATTTAATAACTTAACGTTATAATTGAAAATTATTCAGTAATTGAAGTTAAAATAACGTATGAATATCACCGTAATAAATAGTTATAGTCGAGCGCATTTTTTTTCTAATTTTTATTTTTTTTTGAACTACTGTAACTTGGTCAATTTTTGACTTAGAAAGTTGACTCAACTACCAAAATTCATTAAAAAAATAGGCAAAAAATAATTAGTGGTTAAGGCAGGGGGTTGCCATTTAAAAAAAAAAAAGTTGATATGCGCATGCGCGTGACTAGTTAAGTAAAAAAAATTCAAAGACCATAAAAATGTGTATTTTTATGTCATAACAACTGCCAAAAAACCGAATTCAAATAGCAGGTCTCTACGCAAAGATATTGAGTGTTCTCGATTACCGTTTACACACTGTATATATAATTGTACTTAATTTAATGTTGTATTTTTTTACCATAACTTGAGTAGTATAATTGTTTTATATACTATTTTGATATGTTTTTTACTTTAAAATTAAGCTAAAAATAATATGTTTAATAACATAACTAATAATACGACTGATGTGTGTTTTTAATTTATTTTATTTTTGTCAGGCCAGTAGTGAACTAAGCCAATAATATCAAAAAGTTTATGATACCTACTCATTATTCTGTTAAAAACAGTTTCAATTAGTAATTT